AATTATTTTTGGTATGCTGTGTGAATAAATTGCAAGTAAAGTTAAACATAACTTCCTACAGGCCCCTGCTTAACATTAAATGAGGGGACACTAGGTAGGGGTTTTCAGCAAGTAAAAAACCTAAAAATGGAAGCAACATTTTTTTAAGTTATGCAAAGTGAATGGAAACATGTAACAAATATAAAGTACTATCCCAATTATGTATAAATTGGCAATACACTTTTAAAGGACTTAACACAATTAAGAGAAGAGGGTAATGTTATAAAATAATTTAATGAAGTAGAAGATGAAATCATAATATATTACTATCCTAAATGTAAGAGTTGCCGCCCTCTCCTGACAAATTGAAATGATTTGTTCAGAAAGTATTAAATGATTTTGAGAAATTAGAAACGAGAAAAGGTATTAAAAGTAACATGGATACACAACGGGCGGCAATTCAGGAACTGATTTAAACATCAAGTTCTCATTAAAAAAAACCTCTGGTAAGGGAGGTAACATAATTTTTATGCAGAATCATCAGTAATAGGAGATGTGCCAAAAAATATTAGGTAATAAAATAGAACAAACGATATATAGACAGCAATGAATGCATTTCAAAATTAATTTTTAGTGGTAATAGAAAAAAGAAGTAGAGAAAAGAATTATTCCAAAAAGTACTAGTGATTTATTTTAACGTACAGTATCCTACATTTTATGCACTTGCTGAAATTCATCAAGATATAACCAATCCCCTAGAGTAGCCTATAATTTCAGTAATTGGCTCATATACTAAAAATGCAAGCAAATTGATAGATAACTACTTTAGACCACATTTATAGTCATAAGGTTTGGATATACCTAATGAAGCCCTATTAGTGGCTGTAGATTTTAAGGCACTTTATTCAAGTACTCCACATAAGAGTATCTTTGTTCTTAAACAGTTTTTGAACACAATGGTTTTATCTGAAAAAAAGCAATGTGTTTGTTTAATGAATTTTATTTTAAAGCACAGTACAATACAAAATATATCAGCCACCTTTGGTGACTTCCACTACCTCCAGGTGCAGGGAATGGCAATTGATGATGCCATTCCCTGCACCTGGCACCAAGCCTTATACTAACCTATACCTGAAGGGTTAGAGTGGCCAATATTTGGTGATGTGGACTTGGAGGTATATAGATGACATCTTCATCAACTAGACAGGCACAGAACAATTTTTGTTAAAATGTATAGAAAAAATAAAATTGAATGACTACAATTTATCATTCACCATTAATTTGTACACAGAAATATCATTTCTGGTTCTTACCCTGTGTTAATACAGGGGGAGAAGTACCATAGGCACATCCCTTGTTTGGAAGGCAACAGGAACAATTAGCCATTATGTAAGGCTAAATCGGAACAGTTATGACAGTGCAGATTGCAAATTGGAAGCTGATAGGTTTCACACAAGACTGAGGCAAAACCAAGAATGATTAGTAGATATAGTCAACAACATACAAAAATGAGACGGATTATGTAAAAACATTGGTACCTTTTGAAAAATATTTATATTTTGCAACAAAATGATACAATAAATGCCCTATCATTTTTAAAAGATCTAGTACACTACATTTAGATCTTTTAGACAACCATTGTGAAATGAAATAGAATACTGACTTCAGTTAGGGGAACTTTTAGTTCCGGTACATTTATTCAGTATAAATATAGCCATGTATTTAGGCACATTAGATGTTTAAATGGGGAACTTTATATTTTGAAACATTCTGTAAATTGCTCTACTACAGGGGCCATTTATCTAATGATTTATGAATTTAATGCCTTCTATGCGAGTTAAATTTTTTTTAATTATGTAGAAGAATATATAATAATATTTGCAATATTAAAGATGCAGATTTACGTTCCCAGGTGGCATGTCACTTTGCTTATTATAATGGATATGATCCTTCCAAAGCAAAATATTTTGTATTTGACCATGTTTATATGCCAAAAGGAGGTAGAGATCTTGACAAATTAATATTAAACTAGAATGTAAATGGATATATAGGTTAAAGGTCATTAACCATCTGGGCCTCAATTAAAAGAATAGCTTTGTTCAATTTAATTTACAAAGATGTTAAGAACTGTTTAAAAGATAACAAAAACAAACGAGAAGAAAAAGATGAGAGACACAGTCTGTAACATATGAATAATGGTCAAACAAGCAAATGTCCAAATATAAAATAGGCAAGGCAATTGAAACAAAATGAGTGCAACAACCTTATTAGAGCAGAGAGAGGGTCGATCAGGAATGCTCACTTCACCAGCCACATATAAAAGTAAAATCATGGGCTATACCAAAGGTGAAAGGATGATAGCTTTGTTCTGTTTCTATGACTAATCTTAATTTTTTTTGTTATTCAGTTAGGCATTTGTTTATAATAAAGTATATTTTATGGCTGTTTTGTTGTAATTCTGTATGTTTGTTTGTAATTTGGTTCATTGTGAAACATGTTATGCATTCCTTTCAAAATAGGATACATCAAATTGGGCATTTCTTTTGAGATGGGTGTGCCCCACTTTATATTCCACCTCCCTTTTTTATGCCTTGGCCTTGGATTTTTTTTCTGTATTTCATCTGTGGGGATAATTTTCAATCTTTTTGAGTACCTTTTTTTTTCTGCTTCCAGCATTATTTCATTTGGCAGCAACTCCTTCCCCCTTAAGAGGAAAATATTGACCGCCATCATGGGGATAAGTTGATTAATAGAACTACTGAGTCCATCTGTTGCATACGGTATAGGAGGGATATCCAGATTGATAGAAATATATAAATCAAATCTGTTACTTGCAATACCATTGTATGATATTCAGATTGTTTGAACTACAGATCCCATCTGTTACTTGCAATACAATTGTCTGTATATGGATTAATAGAACTACTGATTCAACCTGTTGCATAAGGTATAGAAGTGGTATCCGAATTATAGAACTATAAATCCCATCTGCCTATGGTAACAAACAATCTAACTTGCACCATCTCTTATACCTTCAATTATGTCCGGATATTTCAACCATGCTTGATAAGTTGTATAGGCCTCTCTAAAAGGCTTGCTCCCTTGTATATACATGGATTACAATTATACTTATTATTTGCTCATCATACTTTCAGTTATTGAACAAGATTAATTTAATCAGATATGCAAGATACTGAGTGAATACAGCCGTAGTGAAGTGCTTAAAACCTTCTCTTGTATCCCTTCACAGTCTATGATGTTAAACAGTTCTCACAAACGCCTTCCCTCTTAATAGAGCGTACGACTGTAGAACTGCAACTGAACCACCATCCTTATAACTATATGGCTGATAGGTACCACTAAAACATAGTGGGCCATAGGCTCATCACACCTGCCTCTGCAGTTGAGATCCAAAAGATTCATTCATCTGCTACAGTGTTATAGAGGGACCCTCATGGACTTCCGTATGTCGGACATACGTGCTCTTCATATGGGGGATTTTACATCTCGGGGACATTCCCACCCCATAGAAGATTTTGAAAAAATCTTGTCCTAAAATAGTATACTGATCCATTATCTGGAGATCTCTATTTAACATTTTATAATGTAAATATCAGATAATGAATAAGCATTGTAAGTATGTTATGTATATGATATATGTTTGCTGTTTTATGAGGCTATTCTCACTATCTGAACTACATTTGCTGATTTAAAAAAAGTGAACTTTGTTCCAAGAAAGGCAATGAATGGAAATCTGCATATACAAGATTATTTGTGATATACACTACATAACGATGGTGTTTTAATTGTTCTTTCTATGGTCTCAACAAAGAATGTCAAAGGACCCCCTTTGTTATGTGAAAAATGTTAGTATTTAGTAATTGCATAACACAAATATCCCTTTGTTCCTTTCTATCTTAACTTCTATAATAGCTATCATGGGTTATAGGTATGAAGAAGTGAATAATTTCTTCTGACTTTCCACACTATGTCTTCCAAGTCTCTCACACTTTTTCTACTCTGCTCCAGTGCTTGCATATCTAAGCAGACTACACTGGCATTTTCTCTTCTGAAAAGCAGATATATAATTTTTTTTAGTTACCAATGAGTATAAAAATATTGTGTTCTTGCATTTCATATTATATTGAACATTGTTTCTTACTGAAATAAATACATATTCATGCTGTTTTAAAGGTTAAACTTAAAGCTGAATTTTGGGCAGTCCTAAAATATACACATTAATGCAGCTCTGCAATCATTGATACACAATTAACTGTGTTGATTTTAAATGCAAGCAGTGTAACCTTTTATCTGACCTTGTATCGGCCTCTGGCATACCATGTACAGCAGGGCTGGCATTTGAGAGGAAAAAGCACCACAAGGAGTCAATCAGTTTATAGTGATAAGAAGCATTTTGATAGAAGGAGAAAGCAGAGTGACAGAAAGATGAGCTTATCGCTGTGCTGCTACTTTTTTCACTGTCCAGTCACAAGCTAGGGTATATCCATGACAGCATGGGCCCAAAGCAAGTTGGTTGAATGATGACGGCCATTAGACTGAGGACATCTTAATGGCAGAGAAGAAGTGCTACAGAGGACAACTCTGGATGAAAGATGCATATTGCAGCAAAAGCTGTTTTTTTTAATTTAATCTTTTATTGAGCAATAGGGTAATAATAAATGTTTTATCATTTAATATAGGGGAAACTGTTTTTTTTTTTACATTTGGGTGATTTTTCCTTAATATAGTCAAAAAATAAAAACCCCAGTGGTGAATAAATACCACCAAAAGAAAGCTCTATCTGTCCCCAAAAAAGGGTATAAAATTCATTTCAGTACAGCGCTGCATGACGGAATAAATGTCAGTCAAAGTACCGCAGCGCTGAATACTGAAAAATGGCCTGGATGGGAAGGGGGTTTAACACCGCGGATGTCAACTGGTTAACTTGTTATTGGCTAGAGTTCGGTTTTTGTAACCATGCCAATACTGAAATTATATAATATAGAAAAACATTCAGTTACCTGTCTTCTTGGTTTGTACAAGTATTGTTGCAGAGTGTGGTGACTTAACATGTCTTCCAAGTCTCTCACACTTTTTCTCCGCTGCTCCAGTGCTTGCATATCTAAGCAGACTACACTGGCATTTTCTCTTCTGAAAAGCAGATATATAATTTTTTTTAGTTACCAATGAGTATAAAAATATTGTGTTCTTGCATTTCATATTATATTGAACATACTTTCATACATACTTCTTACTGAAATAAATACATAAACAAACTTTACACACTCTGTAGTCCAAACTTGATCAACTATTCAACTTTTATCTAGTGTTTTCTCCCAGAAATAATTCAGAAGCAATGATAACTGTTCTTGTCCCGCTATTATCATTTACACAGACTACTGTGTATATATACGTGTGTGTGTGTGTATATATATATGTATGTAGGTATATATATATATATAAATATGCTCATAGGTCCTGTTAAGAGTTCAAGACTAACATTGTCAGGTTTTTCTTGTCATCTTTCAGTCCATTCATTACCATCAGGTTCCTTGGTGCAAGCAAAGCCTTAGGTTATGAGTACACATATCCAAATGGTGTCGCATAATCTTTTCCAGTCCAAAGATATCAAGCCTTTTTCCTCTAATGTTCCTAGTGATACAACTAGGAAGCTTAAGACTAGTCTTGGTTTGAACACTTAAACAGATGGATCAGGATCCAAATATTGCATATGGAATCACTATATTCATCACCTTAAGCCATCAACGGGCTATAGGATGCTGTGCCTGGCAGATGTGTATTCACATTCCTGTGCGCCTGTACTTCACTGACTGTCTTGCTCACCATTCTAAAGTTCCACTTTTTTGGTTTGTTTACCTGCCTTTTGGCCTTGCTACAATCCTAGGTCATTTTCCAAATATTACATCTAGTCACATCCTTCTTGAGTGAACAAGCATTCCAGCTATTACAGCGACATTCTGCTGATAGTTCAGCATGCTCATACTCTGGCAGTCCATGAAACCATCCTAAGTTAGGCTCTGATCAAATTAGAAGCGATCGCCAAGGTGGAAAGCCAAAGTGGTCCAGTGCTTGCTGAGGCAGGCTATACCTCTATCCTATCCATTGGCATCCCAAGTTGACAGGACAACTCCTTGGTGTCTCAAGTTGCCAGCATCAATTCAACTGGTAACATTGGACTTATTGGCCGCTAAGAGTCTTCCAACAGGGTTCTTCAGACGAAAGAGAAAACATTCCCTGTGGCTTTGGTTCTGGATGATTCCAAATATGAGATTCTTGGTTGTGGCTGAAGGCGGCAAGCCTATTTCAGCTCCTATATATGTCCCTATCCAGTGATCGTGTTAATAGGAGATTCCTATGTGCAAATCACTTCAACAGCCCTTTGGTTAAAGGTCAGTGACAGTCCATCAAGAGGAAAATGTCTTCAGCATCTTTGAGTTCGAGAGCCTTTCAGATCCAAGGAACCTCTGTATTAGTTCAATGAACAGCTGAATGATGTTTTTTTCCATAGATGTAGTGTCTGACCATAGGTGTAGGAACTGCTCACTGCTGATGGAGGTACCTCCAAAAAATTTTAAAAAAGGGATTCAGCGCTGAACTCCCCAGCATTTTACTGGCTGACACTATAAGCCACAAAGCCCTGGACAACAATTAATGTTTTCCTTTCTAGCAGTTTCCTGTGGATCAGCAGCAAGTGAGTTATCCAGATCTCATCCTGATGGTAATCCCTAAGAGCACAGAGTGCAAACACTCCTTGTCAAGAGAACGTTCTAAGGGAACGAGTAATGTCTATTCTATTGCATATATGTTTCCTCTATTCAGGTTCCTAAATGGCACCCACAATTATCTGTCTCTTCTTTCCCTTGGAATCTACAAGTAAGGCTGTATATGTTCTTCCTTCCTCGACTTCATCTAGCTCACACTTACTCAGTGTGGACAGCAACATGTAGCATAGTTTCCCTTTGGTAATCTCCTCGGTGAGGAGTGTGTTGGATAGTCAAGATTGGGCTGCAACCACCTTCTTGCTACTATTTCACAGTCAAGGTAGTGAAATAATATATAAAAAAAAGAAAAAAAAGAAGAAAGGGTGGAAAAAAAGAAAAAGGGGAGATATAGAAAGTACATCTTATCTCATATTCACGGGGAGTGATAAAACGTTGAGCGGCTGTCATCGCCATTAGTATCTTCAAGTGATTGCCAGGGGGACTACACCTGTTCAAATTCTTGTATAGTATTATGTAATCGAGCTGTTAGATATTCCAAATTGTAAATATCGTGGATCCTTCGCACCAGTTCTGCGTGGGACAGAAGGGTAACTTGTCGCCATTTTAAAGCTATAAGACATCTTGCCGCAGTGAGAACATGGTTGACAAGTTTAGTAATAGTTTTCGGAAGATGTGGGATGGGGAGGCCTAGGAGCAAGTGCTACAGGGTCTTCTGGTATGGTCTGGTCAGCTAATTTTTGGAGCATCGTCATTGTATGCTTCCAAAAGGGCCGTATCTTGGCACATTCCCAAAATATATGGAGTAAGCTACCCCTTGAGGTCAGGCATTTCCAGCATACTGCTGGGAGCAAAGGGTTCATACGATTTAACAGTTCTGGGGTGCGATACCAGTGGTAAAGAATTTTGTACTGATTAGGTCTTACTAGCATTGGTCCAGATCTTCTCCCATTCATCTTTGTTCAATGTTCGACTTAATGCTCTCTCCCATCTACGCATATAGTTGTGCTTTGGAAATGGTATAACACGGATTAGATTAAGTAATTTGTAAATGTCTGCTATCGAATGTTTACGAGTAGGTCCTTCTAGACATATTTTTTCGAATGGTGTTAATGGTGAGAAAGTAAGTGATGGGGAGATTGTATATGCAAAATGTTTAATCTGAAGGTATGTAAAAAGGGATCTGGTTGGTAAATTAAAATATGTTTGTAGGCTCGGGAAGGGTAGTACAGTCCTATCCACTTTGTGAATTATATAATTGATACGAAAAAGGGACTGGTCTGACCATGGGTGAGCAGTGTATCGATTGAGTGTAGCAGGAAGAAGAGGTGTGTATAAGAATGATCTCATTGAAGTGGTGGTTGATGTAAGGTTAAAGGAGAACTATGGGGTCAGTGTTTTTCCCCATAGTTCTCCTTAGGGTAACGGGAGGACACAAACTAGCGTCCTCCCGTTACCCTAAGCTCAGTATACCCCGAGCTACAGCTCGCGGTATACTGAGACGCCGGAGCGGATCCCGGCTTAGACGTTGTAACATCCCTACCTCAGAGCAGGGATCCCGGCCAGCATGAACGGCAATGTTGGAGCTCGGGTGACGTCATGAACGGCTGCGTCATCCGACTCCTCCCCCTGTTCCTATTTTAGTGCGGCAGATTCAATTCCCTGGCGTTGGTGCTTGGAGCCTGACGCCAGTTATACACCCTCCAGCAATCCTGTATTGGGCCGGACGAGAGCCCCTTCCTTCATCCTGTATTGGGCCGGACGTGAGCCCCCTCATTCACCCACTATTGGGCCGGACAGTGCCCCATCTCAACTCCACTCCTCGTTGGTAGGAGAGAGCCAACTCAGCTCCCCTCATTTGGGCCGGACAGAGCCCCTCCTCCTTGGCTGCTGCAGCCGTCCTCGGCTCTACTTCCGACCAACCCTCCAGTGAGAATCTGCTGCAAGTTACCAGAAGCAGAGTGAAGACCTGCACTTCCCAATCCAGGCCACCGGGTGGCAGCAACACACCTCTGATCTCCTCACCGCAAGTATCATTCTATTATATACTGATTACTGCTGTGAACTGATATTACATACAAGCTTACTGTTGTGAACTATTACTATATACAGTATAATACCGGGAAGTGTCATTACAAATTGTCATTTACCCTCAGTGTGAACTATCATATATATATATATCCACCTATCCAGTGGCTCCCATACTTGTTGGTAAAAAACACAGACCAATAAAAACCTCCTGCATTACAAAACCTCTGAAGCTGTGATTCAACCCAACCACTTAAACTACAACAACCCCATTACAGACGTCGGGATCCGCCCAGCTGCGTGAGTGACAGCTGGCTCTGCCTATCTAGAGGCAGAGCCAGCTGTACCCGCCCCTCCCCCGTCCGTTCCGCCAGCCAGCGCTGGCAGATCGGAGCGGGGAGAGGGGAATCCAACTCCTCCCCCTGTTACGGCAGAGAGCCGTGACAGGATTGAGAGGTGAGCGAACCCGGTATGTGTTCGCTCACCTCCCGATCTACTGAGCCGACCTGTGACAGTCTCATTGTCACAGGTCGGCTAGAACTATGAGGTGAGTGAAAAGAACTCAACTCATAGTTCTCCTTTAAATCTAATCCCTACGGAGTGCCAAATGTCTTTAGTGTGTTGCATAGTAAATAAAAGCGAGGGGACATGTGTAGCCTGAAGGTTAGGGCATAGGAGGCAGTTTAAATGTAGTGGTGAGATCCAAAGATTTTCTATTTCCGCCCATCTATTAGGGGGATGTAAGGAAGTCCATGACGCCATATGGTGCAGGTGGGCTGCTATATAATATTTAAATATATCTGGAAAAGCCAATCCGCCCACCGCACTGAGACTGTGCGGCCCGGTACCATTTGATCCGCGGACCGGTACCGGGGGTTGGGGAACACTGCTCTAGAGGATATTATCACTTTCCTGGCAACTCTATGAGCTGCATTGTCCCATGTAAATTGGAAAAGTGAGCATTGTAAGGTTTTAAGATCCTGTATAGGTATTTTGATAGGTAGTGTCCCAAAGTAATAAAGCAATTTTGGCAGTATCATCATTTTAATGTCATTTTACCTATCCAGGATAAGCGATGTGGTCTCCGCCCCTCTTAACCCACAGGACACGTGATAAATTCAGGCTCCTCCAAGCCACACACATTCTTTTTTTCTGTCCTCGCCATAGGACCGTTTTAAGCTTTTTACATTTTTTTATTGTGTTTTCCTCCCTTTTAGGACCCTTACCTGCCGCCTGCGGCCCACCAGCCAGGGTCAGTCTCCCCTGTGCTGTAGACCCTGCTTCATGGGGTTAAACACTACAAAACCCAGGGTGTCAGACCGTCGGCTGCAATTGTTTAATCCTGCTTGCGTTCAGCCATTCCTTCCCTTGGGGCCGAGCGGCCGTATTTCTCTCTGTTTTATCTCCTTGCTTGCTGATTGGAGCAGGTCGGCACTGAAGGGCTCCGCCCACTCAAATTTTTTGTTGGACAGCTGGTTCGATTCAGGCTGGGTGAGTATTTTCGTCTGCGCAGGCGCGGCCGCGACGTTCGTACTTGCGCAGTGGCTCTGGGATTTCCAAGATGGTGCCCGCTTGCTTCCCGGGCGTCCTTTTAAATAGTTCTGGATTAACTTGCTCATGGAGAGCTCCTGCTTCCAGCGACCGGGGGACGAGAGATTGCAGTCGCCCTGTGGACCCTTCAGTTGCCTGACTAGCCCCAGTAAGTGCAAATTCTTATTCATTATTAGTCACATTCTTTTACTCCATGCATTATCTGTGTCATGCTGCCACTATACTATCCCTCACTTTTCCTAGGAATGGCTGAGCGAGCTGTCGGACGGGATGATTCTTCTCCACTGAGGTAAGGGTATGGTGCAATGGCCCTTAAAGAGACGGTGAGGTGTGTTGTGTTGTTGTGATTTCAGCCCTCCTCACGAAGAACACAGACGGCCTTCCTCAAGATTATCCTCACCTGGACACAACAGGTCCAGAGGCAGGAGTACTTTGTGGCGCAGCCGCAGGGAGACCGTCTCTCACCGCACACGCCACCATCATCACCAGGAAGTTAAAGCTTGTTGGATGTGTGGCGGACAGACCCTACCAGGCAAACTGATCTGCCAGCCTTGCCTCACTGAGACTACCAGTGCACCTGCTTTACCCACGCTTTACCCACGAACGCACTCTCCCAATCGGCAAGTGACTTTCACCATGGAGGTAAACGCAGTGGTCACCCCGGAGGTCCGTGTACGTCTCAGCAGCTTACTGAGCCTACCATTGACGGCTCGCAGTCGGACACCTCCGATATGGGCGAACCTACGTGCCCCTCTGGCTTTGACTTTAATCTTGTGGAACCCTTCATTACGGCTGTTAAGGAAGCAATCAACTGGGAGGATCATATTGTGGAGCCCGCCAAGTTGAGGCGGTACTTCCCACATTTGAAGAAGTGCACATCCACCTTTCCTTACATGGATGAAATAAAGGAACTCATTTTGGAGGAATGGAAGCGGGCGGAGAAGGCACCGAATGTGAACAATCGCATTTCAAAGCTATACCCGTTTAAAGCGGATGACTTGCCTAACCTCAATTCTCCTCCTGTAGTGGACGCGGCAGTTATGCGCCTTGCAAGGCACATTACCCTGCCCATGGAGGATGCTGTCTCCTTTAAGGAACCCCTGGATTGGAAGGAAGACCTAGACATGAAGAGGGCTTACCTGGCTTCAGGAAATGCGTGTCGACCGGTTATCGCGCTGACTTCAGTGTCACGCGCTATTTCCACTTGGAGCGGTAATATCGAACAGGCTCTCAATTCGGAGGCCAGCCATGAGAACATAACTGTCGCTTTGCAAGAGGTGAAGCTGGCGGGAGACTTTATCGGCGAAGCAGCCATCGACATCATACGGTGTACGGCTAGGTCGATCCTTGCCAACATTACTTCTAGAAGAGCTCTCTGGCTGCGCCCATGGGTAGCGGATTCGGCGTCCAAAACCAGCTGGTGTCGTATTCTGTTTGACGGGTCGAATCTGTTCGGACCGAAACTCGATGCCGCAATCTCAAAGGTCACCGGCAGGAAATCAGGCCTGCTCCCTCAAGATCGGAGTAAGCGGCGCCCAAGATTCAACCCTAATAGAAGGCCCTTCACGGAACCCTTGCGTGATGCTAGAGCCTACCGTCTGAGTAGAGAATTTAGGAGAGGTTGGAGGAGTACTCGATCTTCTCTTCTCAAGTTTCCGAATGCAAATGCAGCGTCGGCATCTCAGCCGCCCAAGAAGTCTTTTTGACGGTCAACAGTCCCACTCGGGTTCGGTGGGAGCACGTCTGCAGTCTTTTGTCCAAGCTTGGCACGAGGTTGTTCAAGATCCCTGTGTGCTGTCTACAGTGTCTCGGGGTCACAAATGGACATTCAAGTCGGGTCCTGCGGGCAGCAGATTAGTTCCTACTTATCTTCCATCCTCCGGGCACAAGCCACGCGTATTCGCGGAGTACATTCTCACTTTAATCAGAAAAGGCGCAATCGCAGAGGTCCCTCTGCATGAACGTTACTCAGGCTTCTACTCTCCCATGTTTCTTGTGAAAAAGAAAACGGGCGACCTGAGGCCTGTTCTCGATTGAAAGGATCTCAACAGGCGGATACGCGTGCCCTCCTTCCAATTGAGAATCGACAATTGGACAGCTGTCGCTTACATTCAGCATCAAGGGGGCACACACAGTTGCTCTATGCTTCTGGAGCTCAAGCCGATAATGCAGTGGGCACAGGTTCACCTGTGGCATCTCTCAGCGATCTACCTTCCCGGCAATCAGAACGGCCTTGCCGACCTTCTGAGCCGTTCAACGCTGGATCTGCACGAATGGGAGTTGAATCCCGAAATCTTCAAGATGGTGACGGAGCATTGGGGTTTGCCTCAAATCGACCTGTTCGCAACTCCCCACAACAGCAAGACCTCTCTATTTGTGACGAGATTTCCATGCACCCAGGCCGTGGCAACGGATGCTCTGACCTGTCCGTGGTCCTTCACTCTAAGCTATGCCTTTCCACCCTATCCTCTGATACCGAGGTTGCTCCAGCGGATAGCGGCATTTCCAGGGGTGATCTTGGCAATCTTGCCATATTGGCCCAGGAGGCCGTGGTTCCCTCCACTGCTGGAATTGAGCTTGGAACCTCCGCTCCCGCTTCCCAGTCACCACAATCTACTCCTGCAGTGCCCTTTCCTGCACCCGGCAACCGAGGCACTACATCTGATGGCTTGGAGATTGAGCGGGACCGCTTCTCCAACTTGGGATGCTCCCATGTGGCGATTTCCACATTGCTGAAGGCAAGAAAACACTCAACCAACGCTACTTACCGAAGAGTGTGGGACAAGTTCACTGAGGCGGTGACAGCCGGAGGGTTTGATGTCCGTACCCCTATGGTGAATCGTGTCCTTGATTTTTTTCAGTTCGGTCTAGCCAAGGGACTCAGCTGGAATTCTCTTCGCGTTCAGGTTTCGGCCATTTCAGCGCTGTCAGGCATCAGATGGGCCTTGGTCGTGCGCTTTCTGAAGGGCTGTCTGAAGATCCATCCTTCGGTGAGGTTGTTATTCCCGCAATGGGATCTGTCTCTGGTGCTTGACGTGCTCCAACATTCTCCATTCCATCCGCATTCTACAGCTTCTCTGTGGGACCTCACCTTGTAGACCACCTTTCTCCTGGCAATTACATCTGCTAAACGGGTCTCTGAGTTGCATGCATTGGCTGCCTCGGTGCCATTCTGCATTTTTTCCAGACAGAGTCGTGCTGAGGACGCATCCTTCCTTCCTCCCAAAGGTTACCTCCTCGTTCCACCTTAATCAAGAGATCGTCCTACTGGCACTTATGCAGGATGCAGATGGGGAACCTCATGCGCTCGACGTAGCCAGCACACTGCAAGCATACTTGAGTTCGACGCAACCTTTCCGTCTTGTGGATAACCTCCTCGTTCTTCCCTGGGGATCCAAGAAAGGTAACGCAGCCTCTGTGCGTACCATCGCTTCCTGGTTGGTGAAAATCATCCGTAGGGCGTACTCCATAAAAGGACTTCAACCTCCTGAGGAGATCAGGGCTCATTCCACGAGAGGTATGGCAGCCTCCTGGGTGGCATTCGCTCACGTCTCAGTCAAAACAATCTGCAGAGCCGCTTCCTGGTCGTCGCGGAATACCTTTGTGTCACTACCAGGTGGACCCGGCACTGCTCACCACTGTTAGCTTTGGAAGGAGCATACTTGCTTCTGGTTGCTCTAACCTTTTAATAAATTATTTTGGCATTACCCCCCCTGTGTGATCACTAAATCCCATGGTGTGCTGCCGAGATGCTCCAGGAAAACGGAAAATTGTATACTTACCTTCTGTAATTTTCCTTTCCTGGTGCATCGAAGGCAGCACACCACTTTTGCCCTCCCTGCCATGGCTCGGACTCTTTACTAGAATGTGTGGCTTGGAGGAGCCTAAATTTATCACGTGTCATGTGGGTTAAGAGGGGCATTTTGAGACACACACACACACAACCACACCCCCCACCCTCCCCCCTCCTCCGGCAGAACCAGGAGAGTAACTGCTCTGATGGTACACAAACGATCATACCACATGCACACAGCGGCCAGGAACACTTACTCTGAGGTGCTTCACAGATGACACATGACAGGTCATACAGCTACATAGTGGCCTCCGCAACTACAAACTTAGCACTGCACAAAACAGGGGGCAGGGGCAGGGCGGACACTTCATCGGATGGAGAACCACTGCATCTATTTATCTCAGCCAGTTTCCAGGGACAGTGCTACCATTGTTAGCACCCCACTGGCACCCTCAGGCAGCTGCTTGTTCTGCGTTGCACTAGTGCCGGCCCTGAGCGCAACCTTTTAGTATTGACTGAACTTTGAACAGGGACAGTGTTGCCTGACTTTTGTTTGCTTCAAACTAGCTAAAGCAGATCAGATGTAGGTCCACTGCCCCTGCATTTATTCTGAATGATCTTAGAAGAGTTTCAAACAGATGTCAAAAGCATGCTGTATTTGCCCATTGAAGCCAGTTAACACAAGCCCAAATCCATATTACCACACATTAAAATGCCCAAAGTTAAAATTAAAATGCTTCAGAAGTTACATATTCTGGCCATAAACAATGCAATTATTCATCCAACTTGGCAACGGATACACATACACACGTCTTTTTTTTTTTTAGAAGACAAAAATGGATCTGTATTGAATTGACATGAATGATTTGATGCATTAAAACAATTTTTGTATGAATATAATGGAAAAAAGTAAACTTACAAAAAATAGGACACGGATGGCTCTGAAACAGAAGGACGAGGACTGCTAAAATCAACATTAGCCATATTTTCCATGCTTGGTGAACGAATAAATGCCAAAGATCCTCTGCGTTCTCCCTAAAAAGAATAAACGGGAATTACAAATATATATATATATATATATATAAACTGCATTTTAAGTAAATTAAATACTTTAAATTTTGAGTTGTCAAATTATGTATTTTTTTAATCTTAATATGTTTTTGGCAGTAGCTCATCAATCAATTGTAATTGTAAAATGGTAGCTATAAACTTTGTAATTTCCTATGTAGCGCTCACCCCTGAAGGAGCCTCCAGAATAACCTGGCTAAATAGGATCCACAGCACACCAACACAACTTAGAGAGTTTTGTAAGCAGTTTTACTCAGCAAATGTATAGATCTTATCAAGCATTACATAGAAGGATATAACAAATGAAAGAACAATAATCAACAGTATACCCCAAGTATTCAAACGCTAAGCAACCTCGGCTATCTTTATACTGAAGTATGCAGTACAGAACTATCTCAGAAGCTATCTTTCACTTTGAGCACTTGATTCCTAATGTGTCAGTCCCAATTAGTGTACAACTCTCTATACTACCGGCCAGTAGCAATAGTCTAGGCTAGCCATCGTTGGGGCCCATACTGTGCTGATTAGATAAATTGCAGATATAACACCAAGTGGTTAAAGGCCTCTCACCACTTCCCAGGTCAGTCTTGCAGCAGTGATGTCCATCAGCGAGAGACGGGCATCCCCTTTCTCTCCAGCCAACACTATGCTGGTCAGGAATTCATATGCGATTCATTTGGAAGTAGTCTCTGGTCATAAAAAACGCTGGGAACTCTCTCTCTTTAAAAGTCTTCAGGCCTCCCACCGATTGCTGGGCCTTCTGAAATTTCTTACTATACCCACTCGGCCATTCGTCCCGGCCGTGATATCCCCGCTATAGCAGTGATGTGATGTCCCACTGGAGCGATTGTCCGTGTAACACTGAGCGCAGCAGACCAGAGGGAGGGCTCTCTCTATCTCTAGAGGCCCTTCGGTCTGCTTACACTTCAATAAACAGTGCTCACACAGAATGTGTGATCCTGTTTATTGCCCTCTGCGCTACCGGCAGCCACACACATCTGTCTCTTTCACAGGCTTCTCCCAGACTGCGCGCGCTGAGTAACCACAGCCCAGAATCCCCTTCCTCTCCAAAACACACAGCCTCCTGGGAGTTGCAGTCTCCACACTCTCCCACATCACGGCATGTCCCAGTCTCTCCACAATGATGCAATCCCCACAGGTTTTTGCATCATAGATGGTGTAAAGGTCAGTTAACTGTTTACAATCAGCAGAGGCGGCTCTCTAATTAGGCAAATTAGGCGGTTGACTAAGGCCTCGCTCTCACAAGGGCCTCTCGGCCACCTAATTTGTCTAACACATTACAGGGAACCTTAGTGCTGCTGAGCGCAGACGGCATTAGGAGCCCTGTCACATCCAAGAGTGCATTGCAGCCACCGAACATCTCATCTCAGATGTTCGGCACCTGTGATGTACACTTGAATGTGACAAGGTTCCCACGTCCCAGCAGACAATTCTCCCCGCTGCAGACTCACAGACTGTGGGAGATTTCTCCTTACAGTTTGTAATCGGCTGCACCGATCTGCGTCAGTGGGGACGCAGAACTTTCTCCTTCAGGTCCCTCCTCTGCTGATTGACAGCAGGCAGTGGGTGGGTGCAATAGCCAGACTGTTATTGGCTATTGCAATTTGAAATATCCAATAGCGGGCTGGCTATTGCTCCCAGCAATAAAGTAAACAAAAAAGTTAAAAAAATAAAGTTAAATAAACTAAAATGAAAAATGCAAAAAAAAAAACAAAAATTTTATAAACTAAAATGAAACATACAACATTTTTTTAAAAAAGTTTAAAAAATAAAGTTAAACTAAAATGAAAGTCAAAAAAATTTAAAAAAGGTTAAAAAACATGTTTAAATAGAAATGCAAAAAATTTAATAAATAAAGTTAAAGTAAAATTAAAAAAACAAAAAAATTAAAGTTTTTAAGAAAAATAAAAAGCACAGCCTCCTGAGACCCACAGCCTCCTAAAACCCCACACAGCCATCAATTTTCCATTATGGTTGTGAGTGGGGCCTCATGTCTAAGTTTCACCTAAATTTCGCCTAAGGCCTCGCAAAGTCTAGAGCTGCCTCTGACAATCAGGACATTTTTTAGTCGCAGAACACGTGCATATAAGGGCTACACCTATGTAACAGGAAAGTACAGAACAAAATAATTTCTTATGTAAAAGAAGGTATAGAAAAAAATGGCCATATAAGCCAGACATTTGACGGCGATTGTCACCACACTTGTATTCCATTGAGAACTACAAGTCCCTCTGCCGCAGTGGCAGGCGGGACTTGTAGCTTCACTACTTGCACAAGCAGGTAAAAAGCAGCTTTTGTTGCAATACACACCTTTTAATCTGGGACTGTCCTTCAAGGTAATTCCTTTCTACCACTTGATGTTGCCAATCTTTTGGGTTGAACGAGGCCATCATCTTTCAATTCACTTCTGTTGAGATGCAATGATGCCATCCTTGGTTCAGAAAGACGTCGGCATATCATTACGTGTAGTGTTCAGTATAGGAGCGAGTACCGCGGGAGGAGCAGAGTAAGGACCTGTGACATCACTGGAACCAGTGTGTATGTATTTATGTATGTGTATGTGTGTGTGTATATAGTACAGCTTGTATATCAGTGTACATTTGCTGTCCCCTCAAAAAAAAAACAAAAAAAAAACTAAACACACAGTCATTAATGTCTAAACCACTGGCAACAAAAGTGAGTACAAGAAAGCCCGCAAACAGTTTGCTGAAGACAAGCAGACTAAGGACATGGATTACTGGATTACCATGTACTGTGGTCTGATGAGACCAAGATAAACGTATTTAGTTCAGATGGTGTCAAGCGTGTGTGGTGGCAACCAGGTGAGGAGTACAAAGACAAGTGTGTCTTGCCTATAGTCAAGCATGGTGGTGGGAGTGTCATGATCTGGGGCTGCATGAGTGCTGCCGGTACTGGGGAGCTACAGTTCATTGAGGGAACCATGAATGCCAACATGTACTGTAACATACTGAAGCAGCGCATGATCCTCTCCCTTCGGAGACTGGGCCGCAGGGCAGTATTCCAACATGATAACAAGCCCAAACACACCTCCAAGACGACCACTGCCTTGCTAAAGAAGCTGAGGGTAAAGGTGATGGACTGGCCAAGCATGTCTCCAGACCTAAACCCTATTGAGCATCTGTGGGGCATCTTTAAATGGAAGGTGGAGGAGCGCAAGGTCTCTAACACCCACCACAGATTTCGTAGAGCTCTGGGTGAGATGAGATCTCCAGTCCTGGGAACAGGTGTTGCCAATGACCAGCCTGGGCTGATCAGGTGGCTGAGAGCAGCCTTATCAGGAAGCCAGCCCAGTGCTCAGAGAGGAGTGTTGGTGGAGTGTTGGAGTTGTGTGGGTGCAGGAAGCACAGAGCCACAGCAGACTCAGGTGCGTCTGGGACACGTGGAACAGCCGGGGAAGGTTGCGAGAGGTCAGGAAGGTCGGTGACCCTAGGACCGCTGGGACACACTGCTGAGAGAACAGAGTGAGGGCTCATGAGGAAAGCTACTGAGCCATATAAAGGACTGTTTTATGTTGCTATTTTGTGTTTGCCCTTTAATAGACTGCATTTTACTTGATTTACCTGGACTACAGTAGAGACGAATTGGAGCCATCTTTCTTGCAAACTCTAAGTTGTTGGGGCAGGTCCCTAGGCCAGACCAGGCTGGACCCAGTTGAACTTGACAGTAGCTTTGAGGCAGGCTGCCTCCCCCAGTTGTAAAACCTTCTTGGTTCCCTCCAGTCACCACAAATGGCCTACCTCCATCGGGCCTTTCAGTTCCTGAATCATCTGAAGATAGACTGGCTGCAACGCAGGGTGTACTTTCTCAGAAGCTGGGCTCTCTTCAGACACAAGGGGAGTCAAAAGCCACCTCACTAGAATGGTGTTGGTCTTCACGATAATGGAATTCTGATAAGAACCCGGTGGTCGAGGGACTGAGTGTTGAAGACTCCATACTGTCCAGCGACAGTGGGACTGGATTCCATCTTGACTAGTAGATATCTGCTGTATACCCCAAATCTCAAGGCCGTCTAACTTCATTAGAGGAAGGTGTTTCAGGTGTCTGATAGAAATACTGGTAAATCAGTGTGACTTAACCCCCAGAGTCTAAAAGTGCCTTTGTGTACACTCCCTCCACTTAAACTGGGACGATGGACGAAGGACCAATCAACTCATCAGGAAACTTGTTTTCCTAAGCAGTAGATGAAGCAATGTTAGTTGTCTGTACTTCAACTCTCCTTTTGTCTTGTAGCTTCCAGCTCCCCGATGAATACTGAGGTGTGGGGTGTGGATTGCTTTCCCGTGACAAAGAGCCAGACACCGAAGGAGGGGGTCTTTTGATCACAACAGGTGAGGTTTTGGCTAAGGATTTGGGCCTCTCCTGTTTTTTTTATGATTTTGGAGATTGGAGCAAGCTGAAATGGGCACCTGGTTGGCTCCTTCACCAGGGCCCCTTGGAGTTTTCCTCCTGGCTCTGCAGGCTGTAGTTCCCTTAATGCCCTTAGAGCTTCTTCTGCAGCACTCGAAGGAGGGCTCCTTCTTGAGCACTGCACCATGGTAACACCTTCTTCCTGATAAAGGCAGAGTAGCGCTCTTTGTTCCAATCAGAGGTTAAAGTTTTAATTGTCGACTGCGCTTCTGTGAGAGATTTCTGCCTGTCAACATGGGCTTCTGCCACTGGCAAAATTGTTCAACATATCTCCTGGATTTCTTGCATTCCTGCTTGAGTCTCTAGTACCTTTGTGATGACCCTTTGCAATGCACACTGGGCCTGTGCCAACTGATTGCATCTTGAGTGGCAGCATCAGAACTAATGTCCAATACATCAGTGGCCCGCAAAATACTCTCTAGACTGCAAAGTGTGCAGATAAACCTTTTTCTTGTTTTGAATAGATTTCTCCGTAGTATTCAGGCTCTGAATTTTTTTTTCTAAAAGGGTTTCCTCTT